CTTCCCCTCTCCCTCCTCGCACTCCCCATAACAGACAGAACAAACGTTCCACCCCCTCTTCCCCTACCACACAATCACCTCCACCATCCTTTGCCCGTACTCTTGAGACACCAGTCCTCTCTTCCCCCCCTCACAAGAAATCCTTTATCCCACAAAACTCCCCAACCAACTCCATTGAAGAAACACACACCAAGTGACTGCCGATATCCATCCTCCTCCTAATGATATCCCCCCTACACCCTATCCTCCTACCCCCTCCCAACACAACCCATCCCCCCCAACTCCAACCCCACCCACATTAACCCTCCCACCATCCCCTCTATCCCTTCCACTCCCTCCTGGATACACACATGAATCCCTTATATCACAAGCATCCCTTTCCACACCCGTCTAACACACCCCTATCTGATGTCGCAATCCGATCCACCCCTATGCTCTTTATGTAATGTTCCTCTTTCAGTCTCACACATTCTATTATCATGCACACGTTTTGAAGCAGCCTGTAGCTCTGCTCCCCCCCCCCCCCTATCCACCTATCCTCCCTTCGACAACCTGTTTTCCTCTCAAACATAAATATCCCTCACTTAATCTAACCCCTTTACATTACCTCACCCGACCTTAACCCATTCACTCACCAATTCCTTTGCCCAGCTTTGTTAACTAATCACTAATTTAACCACCCTTTACTAACATTTACTATAGTGCTACATGACCTTAGATGTCTAGCACATTTATTTTTGCTTTTAACCATTAACCATTAACCCTTCTCCAGTCAAACTCTTTTGCCATCCTAATCTCCACTACAACCTCAACACCTTCCCCTCTCCCTCCTTACACTACCCGTAACAGACAGAACAAATGTTCCACCCCCTCTTCCCCTACCACACAATCACCTCCACCTTCCTTTGCCCCTACTCTTGAGACACCAGTCCTCTCTTCCCCCTATCACAAGAAATCCTTTATCTCCCAAAACTCCCCAACCAATTCCTTAGAAGAAACTATTGAAAATATTCAAGACTACTTAATGAAAACTGACACTCAACCTTCAAATCCTACAATTCCTGCTCCCTCCACACTCCAAGTGACTGCCAATATCCATCCTCCTCCTAACGATATCCCCCCTACACCCTATCCTCCTACCCCCTCCCAACACAGCCCATCCCCCCCGACTCCAACCCCGCCTACATTAACCTTCCCACCATCCCCTCTATCCCTTCCACTCCCTCCTGGATACACACATGAATCCCTTATGTCACAAGTGTCCCCTTCCACCCTCCTCCTCCTAATACCCCTCCTGATAGAACACCAACTCCCACACCTCTCCCATCTCAGACCTCTCAGTCCTTATCCCACCCGCTAGCTGCTTCCCCTTCAAATTCCCCAAAACATACTACAGTCTATTTCACTAAATCAACGAAAGTATAACTATCCTACATTGGAATATTCGCGGTTTCCACTCTCACAGACCCGACCTTCATCATATCCTTTCCTCGTATAACCATCCATTGTATGCCTTCCAGAGACCTTTCTTACACATCCTCCAATACCAATCCCCAATTATCATTTTGTCTCTTCCCCACACTCCCTTTATGTCTCGTCCATACTTATCAATCAGAAAACACTTTATGTCACACCTCCCTTTCAAACCAATGTCCCTTGCACAGTTATTCGTATCTTCACCGTTGGATCACAGTGATTTCAGTCTACTTCTCCCCTTCCCACCCCACTGACTTTGTTGTTTTTGAAAATCTAATTTCCCAACTTCAACCACCTTTCCTCATAGTTGGTGACTTTAACTGCCGCCACACTCTTTGAGGTGATTCTATCACCAACTCCCGAGGCCGATCTCTAGAGCACTTTCTCTCCACAGCTGACCTTACTATTCTAAATTCAGATTGCCCCACACACTTTGATACACGCACGCAATCTTTTTCATGCATTGACCTCTCTCTATGCTCCCCTTCTCTTCATTTAGATTTCCACTGGTCAGTTTTAGACCACTTTCCCTATAGTGACCACTTTCCAGTTCTTTCTCCTACTTCATATGTACCACTTCCTAATTCCTCATGCTGGTGCTTTGATAGAGCCGACTGGCATACTTTCACTTTACTCTCTGCTATGCATACCCCTCCATCCTCCCTCTCATCCATTTCAGAAATGATACAGTGTTTCACGACTACTGTCGAAATTATGTTTCATCAATTACATCCTCTACATCTATCTCAAATGTTTGGTGCCGAATCCATAAACTATCAGGAAAACATCCCCCCCATCTAGCCCCCGTCCTCCATATTCGAGATACCCTCATTTCTGATCCTATGCAAGTCGCTAATGAACTGGGTGATTATTTCAGTCAGGTCAGTAGTGGTTCTCACCTTTCTCCACACTTCTCTTCTATTAAGACCATCAGAGAACGTACCCCCATTATCTTCACCCCATCCTCTGCTGAGTCCTATAATGCTCCATTTTCTTCCTCTGAACTCAATGCTGCCCTGCAATTGTGCCACAACACTCATGAAGGCCCTGACGGTATCCACTACCGTATGCTCCGGCAACTCCCACCTTCCTCCTTATCCTTCCTATTAAAAATTTACAACCACATATGGACATCAGGAAATTTTCCTTCAAATTGGCGAGAAGCTCTTATCCTTCCCTTCCTGAAACCCAGTAAATTGGGTACCCTCCCTCAAGACTATCGCCCCATCGCACTAACTAGCTGCTTGTGCAAACTATTAGAGCAAATGGTTAACTTCCGCTTAAGGGTTAAATAAGGGCAACCTCTAACATTGGTGACAGGGATAGTAAAAGGTTAGTGGCTAAAAACTCTTTTATTGATAGAGCTAGCACGCTGAATTGAAACACAAGATGACAAGGCTTGCGTTAAGGCGAGGGCGCCTAGGTCAGACGGCAAGCCCTACCAAACGGCAACCTGGTCGCGGGGTCAGGCGTGACCCACCTCGGCACAGAACACTCTGCTTTCAGGGATCATCTGCAGGCCTTAAATATCCGAGCGTTGGCTTGGGGAACGAGGGTAGGTAGCATTCCCCCGAACCACGCGGCTGGGCTTCAACTCTGCTGGTACAAGCATCCACGTGGTCTTTATACGGTATATTGTATATTGCTCGGCCACCTACTCACGGCTCGTCCTCGAGGCGATCTAGACTTCCTCAAGGGTGACCCAACCTGGCTGGTTCCAACTTGCTCGTCCTCGATCTCGGGTGCGGTATCCTTGGTGCATCTCCGTGGCTGCTTGTCTGTGTCGTCATCCTCGCTCTGGTCCCTGGGAATCCGTTCGTCCTCGACATCCTCACGTCCTCGATTGGTCTCGCACGGTCCTCGTCCAGACATCCTCGTCTTCCGTGCACAGGTCCAACTAGGCGGCTTATTCTCCCAATGCACGTCTCGCAGATCTCCGTCCAGGTCCCTCTCGGCTGCGCGCTCGTACAGACGTCCGGAAGGAAGCATCCTCTTCAACATCGTAGTGCGGCTGATACCTGCATTAATGAGCTCCTAGAGTTTGAATGAGTCTGCGGCGTCCAGGCAGGCCCTTCCACAGCATCATGGGACGGCGAACTTCTACTGGCGAGCCCTGTCGTCGCTGGATCTCGGGGCGTCCTGGCGGCGGCGATCCTCCGATGACGTTTTCCAATGGTTTCCGAAGGCGACCGTTTCTGCAGCCGTTTCAGATATCGGGAACCAGAATAACACATAATGGGCAAGATTGTGAGAGAAGGAAAAACGACAGAAGAGGTGTTAAATTCCCAATTCCGATTTTTTGTTTCATAATTTGCAGTTTTTAGAGTTGAATTTTCGCTATTTTCGTCTTTTTTTCATTTTGTGTTTTGTGTTCAAAGTTAAGCTAAAAGAAGAAAATAGAAGAGGGAGACGTTGGTTGCGATCCACAAGGATCCTCTTGAGTTACCATCATCTCGTGAAATGATAAGTAAGGGAAACGACCATTGGCATTCCGCAAGGAATTACTTGAACCAATGCCCAGGCATGTTGGAATCCCCGGCAATGAACAGGCAGATACACTTGCATACTACGCCACTAGGTCCACATCATACCAACCACGCTTCTCACGTATCCCAGCCACAGATTATTACCCATACTTTAAGACCTTCTTGTATAATCGATGGCAATCTGTTTGGTCAAGTCTCCGCACTAATAAATTACTTACTGTAAAACTATCAATCTCCTGGTCAGCTGCATTTCATTGGAACAGACGTTGGGAGACCGCTCTCGCCCGCTTACAATCCGATGTCACAATCCGATCCACCCCTATGTTCCTTATGTAATGTTCCCCTTTCAATCCCACACATCCTATTGTCGTGCCCACGTTTTGAAGCAGCCCGTACCTCTGCTTTCCCCCACCTATCCTCCCTTCACCGACCTCCCAACATATCAGACATCCTAACAGAATCCCACACTTTCTGCTTCAACAACCTGTTCTCTTTCCTCAAGCGCATACATATCCTTCATCTAATCTAACTCCTTAAAACTTTCACTTACCAACTCCTTTGCCCAGCTTAGACAACTAATCACTAACTCAACCACCCTTCACTAACATTAACTATAGTGCTACATGACCTTAGATGTCTAGCACATTTATCTTGCTTTTAACCATTAACCATTAACCAACAGTCATTAAATACCAAAAGTACGTCTCTGGGTAAGAATATCAAAAAAAAAACAAAATTCCGCCTATCTGTGGACAAACAATATATATGTATAGACAACCGAAGTTTTATAGAGCCAGTACCCAGAAATATCAAAGATATTTGGAAAAAAAAATGTAATGTATACTAAAATCTGGGTTATGTTTCTTGTTTAACACACTGGCTTACGACACTAGGTGTGGCACAATACAGCTATAAGGTAAATAATTTTAGGATCTCTTTTTTAAGTTGTCCAAACGTATTCGACTGCTTACTCAACACACACACACATATATATTTTTTTTTCTTTCTTTCTTTCTTTTTCTTTTTCTTTTTTTACAG